GAACTGTCACGGAAGTGTCAAGGAAGTGTCACGGAACTGTCACGGAAGTGTCAAGGAAGTGTCACGGAACTGTCACGGAAGTGTCAAGGAAGTGTCACGGAAGTATCACGGAACACGGAAATGTCACCGAATCGTCACACATGTTTTATTATGCCTGCCTCTTCTAATTCGTTCAAGATGGCAACAATCTCGTTATCGTTTGATGTATTTCCGGCTTGCTGTGATGCAATGAGCAACTTCAATCTATCTACCAATTTTTTTTTTATCGCTTGGAGCGCACGAAAGGGAATCCCTATAATGTTCAAAGAACATCGTGCGTTCCTTGGGAGGATAGGGACAGGAGGTAGGTATTGGAATTTTTTTTGAACTTCTGGAGATTATATGTTGTTGGGAATACTTCCACAGGCAATGAATTCCAGAGCCTAGCCGTTCTATGGATGAAGGAGTCTTGATAAAGTGCTGTGCGACATCTTTCGAGGTTGACAACGAAAGGATGTGCTGACTGGGCTTGTCTAGTTCGTCTGATTGGTATTGCTAGTGAAGGGATGATAGCAGAGATTTCCGAAGAACATTTCCCGTGGAAGTATCGATAGAAAAGTGAGAGGTCGCCGACCTTTCTACGATGTTCCAATGATGTCAAAGAGTGAGTGAGTGTGGCGTCACCCACCAGGCGAATGGCTCTTCTCTGGATGGAATCTAAGAGCATCAGTGTATGTTTTGGTGCTGAGCCCCATATGTATTCGATAGGTGCTGTGTTGTATGTCAACTTCAAACCACGACCACTGGAATTGGATCTGAACATTGGACGAATAATTTCTACGTATTTGAGTCTAGAGGAGGACTTCATACGTCCTGCAGAATTCAGATGAGCTTTGGTGAGCAAGAGTATTTGCTTGTATGGGTTCGTATCATCTTTGGCAAAGGATGGATCATTATAGAAGAGTAATTGATAGAGGCCTGGGGTGCCACGGAACCGGAAGCCATCAAGAAGTATATCTCCAGTTTTTCGATGGAAATTCAATTCTTTTCCGTTGAGAGACCATTTCGATGTTACTGGATCATATTTGGGGCCATAAACCGTATCGATATTTTCATCATTTGTCCAATATTCAGTCAGATATTTTTGAGCCATCGCAGGATACTGATCAACGTAATCATGTATTGCAGCCGGTGAGATATTTTCACTATCTACAAAAAGTTCATCATCAGCATCGTCATAACCATCCTCATCATCATCTTCAGTATGCCCAACATTATCAGCCACATCCATCATAGGTATGAAATCAGTTTGGTTCAAATCCGATTGCTCCCTCTCCACCTCCCCATCCTCTTCCTCCTTCTTCTCCTTCTTCAACCCCAACGACTTTGCTCTGCTTCGCTTGATGTTTGAAAGCGTTCCATCGAGTTTTTCTTCTATGACCTTGGACGCGGAGGCAATTTGTTTCAAAGGTGATGTCAGTGGTTGGAATATTTTCTGTAACGCATCATCATCCTCAGACTTGCCTAATTTTAGTGCTAAATATTTTCTTCTGATTGATTTCGATAGTTCGTTGATTTTTTTCTTGCGCAGCGCATCAGCAACTTCATCATGCATCTTGGTTGACGTCATCTTGATGAATGGTCCAGAGATCACAGTCTTATGAACTTATCGAAACCATTTCTATATCTGCCAGCATTCATATCGAAAGTTTTTGCAATCACCATCGCACCATATTGGTTGGAATTCCAACACTCTGAGCACAATGCTTTAAATTGATCGAATGACATGTCTGGTGAGACATGCTCGTCGAACACATGCTTCAAATTCATTTCATCCTGTCGAAATAACACCAACAGGTTACTGTTGTCTCGCACCAGCTGCTTCGGTATCTTAGAAAAAGTCTGGCATAGGTATGCTACGTCAATATCCTTGTGTCTACACATTGAAAAATATTCTTGAATTTTTTGCTGCTTGTCGCATGATACATCATCAAAAATGAATATCGAATTATTTTTTGCTTCTGATGGACTGATGACATCATCATTTTCTTTAAAGGGAAAATACCCAACACCTTTCACTGAATCCAACACTTGTTGCAGCAATTGATATTTCGGTTGGTACAACGACTTTGAATACACGTAAACGTTCTTGAATTTCGCGCCATTTGGATTGAACAGCAGGAAAAGCATCGCATTGGTCTTTCCACATCCGCTTGGTCCGCAGAAGATTGCTCTGAACGAATGGGGAAGCAGTTTCTCATGTTTACTATTTACTGGGGGTTTGGTTGAAAAAATTTCATCCAAATTCACAATGGGTAACATCCGTTCTTGTTGAATGATCTTCATCATGTGATGATATATTTTTCATTTCATTAGGTATATGCAGAGTTGTCGAACTTCCTACACATCAGTCTTCATGTTGCTCTACCACGGAGAGGGTGTGCTTAATTCTCTGATCGATAAACTTTCCATCGAATTACACATTCCAGGCTACAGATTTTGTGGTCCAGGTACCAAACTCGATGAAAGACTTGCAAGAGGAGACACCGGTATCAATCCGTTGGACGACGCGTGTCGAGTACACGATATCGCCTATTCACAAAATTCCTCAATAGAAGACAGGCACAAAGCTGATTGGATATTGGAAAATAGAGCGTGGGAGAGAGTCAAGTCGAACAACGCTAAATTCAAAGAGAAGGCTGCTGCTTGGCTTGTCACCACCGGAATGAAGGTCAAACGAAAACTTGGCATGGGTCTTGTATCACAGCAATCCCTATCCAACATTATCAAATCCATAAAAAATGTACTATCAAAGTCAGATGGTGGTGGTAGTACAACATCAGGAAGTGGTCTGGATAAATCTGCATTAAAAGCACCCCATGCAGCCAGAATGGCAATCAAGAGGGCTGGCGGTAAAAAAAGAATCAGAGTACCAAGAATCATACCTCTTCCACACAGTGGCAGTATACTACCATTGATACCAATCTTTGCCGCCTTGGGAGCCCTAGGATCTCTAGCTGAAGGAGCCGGAGCAGTCGCAAAGACAGTCATTCATGCGAAAAATGCAAAGAAAAAGCTCGAAGAAGATCAAAGGCATAATAAAGCAATGGAGGCTATCGGCAAGCAGGGTTCCGGCCTAATTCTACGCAAAACATCGAGAGGATTCGGATTGTACTTGAAGAAACAATCAAAAAACTCAAAAAACTTCTAGACAAGCTACCCAATAAATCAATGTACGATAAAGATGTGATAAAGTATGCCAAACAGCTGAAAATACCGTATTTTCGAGGTGTTTTTATGCGGGACACTCTACCTTCCACCGGTCCATGGCATCGCGAGTGTGCTGTATTGAATTTGGATACCTCCAATCATGCGGGCACTCATTGGGTGGCTTACATAAAAAATGATGAAAAAGCCTTATATTTCGATAGTTATGGCAATCTGAAACCGCCCAGAGAATTGGCGCAATATTTGGGTGCCAGCACGAAAATCTTGTACAATAACAATCAATACCAGAATTTCAATCAAAGTAATTGTGGACGTCTATGTTTAGAATTCCTTCTTAATGAGACCAAGTAACTCGGTCATTGTGCATCAGTCATGTCTCTGATTGTGACGTTGAAAGGTCGTACATCTACGCTCTCCATAGACTTTCTGACACCACTTCAACTCGATCCAGACTCTGATTACGGACTAGCATTGTTGGGATTCCATTCATACAACAGTATACCAAATATCGACAAAGGATCAAAGTTTTATCTGCAAGATAAGACCAAGGCAGGAAAGATCATCGATATTCCCGAAGGTTCATACGACATTGTGGACATTGAGACATTCATACGCAAAGAATTGCGCATCTCAAGTGCAAAGGACGTTGATGATATATTCTCGTTGAAGCCCAACAATAATACACTGAAGTGTGAGATTTCGAGCAAACAGTCTGCCATTGATTTTCGCCCGAAGGATAGCATAGCTCAAGTCTTGGGATTTTCAAATAGATTGTTGAACGCACAACAAGTCCACACTTCCGATTTGCCGGTCAGCATAACCAAAGTGAGAACCATTCACATTGATAGCAACGTTACTGCTGGAGCTCTCTACAACGACAGACCATCACATACGATCTACGAGTTTGCAGTTGCAGTCGATCCTGGTTACGCCATAGACGAGACTCCCAGAAATCTAATCTATCTACCTATAGTCAGCAGGCGGGAATTGCCCAACATTACACTCCAGATTCTAGACCAAGATTTCAGGCAGGTGAATTTTAGAGGTGAAGAAATCATCATAAGATTGGAATTGAAGAAACTCGCAAAATGGTACTAGTGTTTGATTACTCCTATAAATCAGATGATATACCATCATCAGCAACATCATCAGCACCAGTTCTCTCGACACCGTACACCAAAGCAGTCGTGTCTCCGAAGAGCAGCAACAGAAAAACATTGACATTATCCAGTGTCCTGTTTCTGAAATCACTCAAAGACTACAATGTTGTTAGCACCCCTGTTCGACGTTTTCCGCAAACCCAGATTCGACGAAAGCATCACTGAAGTGGAATGGCGTACCTATTATCCATATGTGAAATCATTCGAGAACAATGATGTCATCGATATAACGGTTAATCAAGCAGATTCGTGGTTGGCCATGTTTGAAGGCATCATTACCATCAAGGGTAAATTGAAGGTGACCGGTGGTGGTACTGGTACATTAACCCACAATGCTGGAGCTTATCTCTTTGATTCCTGCACCTATGAATTATGTAATAAAGAATTGGACACTGTCAGATATCCTGGAATAACGAGTACTGTGCGAGGATACTTGTGTTATACACCTGAAGACTCACGTCATTTAGCCATAGCAGGCTGGAACTATCCCAATGCTCCGATCCTCAACACCGATGGTACGTTTAGCATGAACATTCCACTGAAACATTTGTTTTCCATCTTCAATGATCATCAAGTGGCAACGTGGGGCAAGCAGTCAATCCGTTTAGTGAGAGCTCGCAATGATGCCAACAGTGTGAAGGTTATCGAGAAAGCGAATACTGCTTTGCCAGGATCTCCTCAGACTCAAAGTATTGCTAAAATAACGATAGAAAGCATTAATTTGAAAGTGCCACATCTCACACCCAACGATGACATAAAGTTGCAGCTGTTGACACGTATCAAAGCAGATGAGCCTATGATGATACCGTTTCGCCGATGGGAATTGCACGAGCTACCAGCAATCACACAAGGATCTACCATAGAAATCTGGTCTGTCAAGACGTGTTCTGCATTGGACAGTCCAAGATATGTTATAGTATTTTTCCAAACGAAAAAAGCCGATAGTTTGCATGAAGACGTCACCTTGTTCGATAATGCCAACATCAAATCCATACGATTGGCTCTGAATAGCGACTATTATCCGCAAGAACGAATGCTATTGGACTTTTTCCGAGACCAATATGCCGACGTCCACTTCAACTATACAGAGTTCAACAAGAGCTACCATAACTGTCAAGAAAAGCGCTCTCTAGTAAACTTTGCCGAATTCAAATCCCGACCAATGTTTGTTATCGATTGCTCGAGGCGCCATCTGGGTCTAAAGTCGTCCACAGTTGACATAAAGTTGGACATTGAAGCGACTACAGGCTTCCCTCCCGACACCAAAGCCTATTGCATCATCATTCACGATCAAATCATGGAACATCTCCCACTCAGCGAAATCGTTCGAAATATTGCCTAGTTAGGTGTTGCTGCATCAGTCAGACGTCAGTTTGCTTCGATGAGTCATGGAGATCGCACTGGTTGACATTCAAGGGTTCATGGTTGATGGTGAATTCATTCCAAAGGAAATGACCATTCGCATTGGCAAAAAGACGAGTCATTTTCTATTCAAGCCATCTGTAGAGTTTTCCAGTTTGAACAAAGAAGATAAAAAGATGGCAAATCATGTGGAGCGTTACGTTCATGATTTAAAATATTCCAGTGGTTATGTGGATTTGAATGAGTTGGATCAAATACTACGAGATAACCTGCAGCAGACAAACATCATCTACGTAAGAGGCCATCAAAATATTCAGTTCTTGCAGCGAAAATGTGCAGAGTTGGAGATGACTAATCACATTGTTAATTTGGAAGATTTTGACAATTCTTGGTGGCAGCCAATAACGTTTCAACAATCCATTCCACCTTGCATGAATCATTTCCATGGAGGAAGGTTCCAGTGCAGTCTCCACAATGTCGATACTTTATATAATTGGTTATGTAATTTATTGCCATAATAAAAAACTTTATAATAATTTCAGAGTTTTTATTCATCACGTCCCTTATTTCTCAGTATAATGAAAATAACATGTGAGATTAAAATGAGTGAACATATTAGTGTACAACAAAGTGTCAAAATTGCAATGATATTGACAGAATCTTGATCATCATCTAATTTTGTGGGTGATTTCTTCAATGTAAATGTCTGCCAGTCTCCCATTTCGCCGTGACTGCCATCAGAAAACGATAATTTCAATTTGTAGTCGATGGTGGTCCCATTGACTCGAGGCATGTCGATTGAATATACAGGTAGTTTGTTATCATTGACATACATTCTACTCATCAGCTTCCAATCACACTGTTGTGTACGATTCACATCAAAACATACGGCTGCATTACTCGTATTGTACGGTATGTTTGTGTAGAAGATGTTGTTGCTCAGAGCTGTCAATAGAATGAAGCTTGCTTTCAGTATCGCCATCTAGTAGCTGTGTTGGTTGGATTCTTCTCGATGTAGGAAACGTTGCAACTGAACGTCTCGGTTCTGTGAACACCTTGTCCCAAACACTCAATTGCTCGAAATCTTTGAACAAACAAACTTTCTGCTCATACAATTGGATGTCTGCACTGAGCTTTCTAACTTTCAACCCAAATTCTTCTAGTGCACGTCTGTATTCGTCAGAAGACATGATACAACTGTTTTTTACATCCATACTTTCAACCCACATCTTATTACATCTCTTTCCCTCTCTCTCTCTCTCTTCCTTTCTCTCTCTTCTTTTTTCGTCTCTCTTTCTTTCTCGTACACATCATCCAGACAAGGGTGTGGAAAAAGAATACACAGAAAAGTCTAATAATTGTAAAAGTGTATAATAGTATAAATGTAAAAAGGGATAATATAAATGAAAAAAAAGTTTATACAATAAAATATGAGTATTAGGAATAATCAGATAATACTAAAATAATTGGAAATATACATATATACAACATAAATTATTGGATGAATAAAAGAAGTTACATTTTTTTCATGGGAAAATAAGTCATCAATACAACAGCGTTGGTTGAAAAATTTGATGCAAAAATACTAAGGAGAAAATCAATCCGTCAAACTGTAGTGACCCCACGAAAGTGTGTCAAACAAATCGTGAATCAGTTTCCGCTTATCATCTTTGGGACTTAGGCCAATTTTAGTCTGCTCGATAGAAAAGACATCGTAGGAACGAATCGTTTGCTGGGCTACGGTCTTTTCTTTCCAAGCCGTCAGACAATCCACATAGTCATCAAAAGTCAACTTATTTTTGACGACGCATTTCTTGACACCCTTGGATTTTTTAGTTATACCAAAATTTTCCAATTCCCTATCTAGTCGTTCTTCACTGAATCCCTTCCTTTCCAATCGCTTTCTCTCTTTTTCAATATCCTCATCCGTTATATCCAATTTATAACTGTACATCTTGGACCGTAGTCCAGCAAAATGCGTAATAATCTTACCGTTTGCCTCATCCTTTAATAGGCCCAAGACTTTTTTATTTACTCGAGGTATACCATAAATATTGTCTGGAGCATAGTCAGACGTGTCAAATCTCTCGATATTTGCATCAATCACCTCACTATACGCATCGTCACATACAATTTCGTAGATGAAGCTGTCCGTATCGGTATACATGAGTTTTACGTCAGCTCCAAGCTTTGGTAACATGAAATTGTAGTGGAAATCATACATGACGATTTTCGATAAATCAAGAATAGCCATACCAATGTATAGGGGCTTGTTGAAAATCAGCTCTGCTTTTTTAAACTCCACTGCCACCAAATTGGCATCGAAAACTGTTCGCTGTTGAAACCGAGGACTTGAAATTAAATTTTTAATGCCATAGCGGCCTTCATACATTCTGACTAACTTAACTGTTCTATGATTACGAATATTCTCCATCGTCTTCCCAAACACCACATTTTTGGCCAATTTCCTTAAATCTTTTTCGAAATCGTTTGTGGCTAGAGTCCTCAGTCGGGTATTCAACTCGATGTAGGGCTTTAGCCACGTGGATTGTTTGAACTTTTATACTTTATGAATCTTGGTCAATTTCAGACCGTGTTCTAATGCCTGCTTCAAATTTCTGTAATGTAAAGTATATGACTTTTTATCGTACAGCGTGGTCATTAATTTGGATAATTTTGAATTTGGTGGTGTGCGGTGTTCGGGACAAAATGGTAGGTCCTTGTGTAGGTCATGCAACCTCTCAGGATACTCCAAATCAACTTGGAGAATATAGCCTTCTGGACTGTTGTCAGGAATTTGGGTAACATCAATGTCAATATTTTCTACCCATGTAAAGCCCCCATAAGGGAGGGGTTCACTCACTGCTTTTCCATAAAGGTTATTCACATCGAGATAAAGAAGGTACTTTGACGTCTTTTTTGGATCGTAATTTTTCTGATAATTATTGTTTGCTTCGCTATACCTATTGCAACAAACCGATACTCCTCCTCTTATCGCCTGCTCCACAAACATCACCATGTCGATATCTTTGATGATTTGCAGCTTGCACCCAGTATACTTGAGCATGCAGTCCCAAGTATAGCCGGGCATGGTGTAATACCAAGCAGGATCGAGGCCATAGGTCTTGAGGGATGACGCACGGAAATTTTCCATGACGTCAGCAAGAAGAAGAATATCGGTCCGCATATATAGGTCGCTATATTCTCCCAGCGATTTCAGCTCGAAAGATTCCCAAACTTTTCGCGCGTGCGCGTAATCGTCGTCCGAAATATTTGTATTGTTCAATTTGTTATAGAAATTTTGAATACTTGGCAACTCGGATTCATCCAATCTTTCCACATTATCGACATAATCATATGGGAATACTCCTTTTCGTGTCAACAATGCAAATTTCGTCTCATTTACGTCACTGAATTCCTTCTTCAGGATTTTCAAATCATTAACTTTTAGCGTTGACACTAAAGCATCGAGACTGGTTCCCAAAAAGCGGAAAGAGTCGATGAATCGGAATTTTATGCTTGTTTCATCATCATGTTGTGTAAAGGAAATGTATTTTTCGCGATTAACCGGGAGTACGCTCACACGTCCCCGCTTGGAAATGTCTCTGATTATAAAATGCGAATCATATCCTGAGAGGTTGTGGAACGTAATGGGAACAACGAACAGTTTCCTAAAGTTGAGATTACAGGGAGCCTGGTGTGCGAAGCCTCTGAATGCGCCAGTAAAATGGTCGTGGTCACGTACGATAACGTTTTTTGCCTTAAATTTCTCTTCGCAAATGTGGCAGATGGTTGCGCCACTGGTACTAGCTGGTTTGACTACCATTGGAACGATATTTTTTAATTTGGATTCAACAAATTTCGCAATTTTAGACATTTTGCAGGCAAACCAGTCCATGCAATCTTCACCCCTATGACTACGATAGAATGACAGCGAGTCATCGAAAGAACATTTAAAATAGTACCCAGCACTGTATGCTTTATGATGTTGATACTTTGAAGTGGTTTTTGAAATTTTGGAATTACATTTCTCCAACTGCGATTCGAAATCAGCATAAATGATGAAAGGACATGTCTGCTTATACACATGGTTCTTGAATTCTACAAAATCATACTTGGGGAATGAAATTTTCTCATTATTAATTTTCTCACATAGAGCAGCATGACTATCAAGCTTCTCCTGGCAATGGTAATAGTTGAGGCACCGATCGCAGATGAATTTCTTTCTATAATTTTTGCTGAGTTGACTTGATACTTGTCGTGAAAGGTCCTTAATCCAGACATAGTGATATTTTATATTGACGTTTTCCTCAACATCATCGTTGTCAGGAGAAGCTTCATAGTCATTCAAATTTGGGAAATATTTGTCCTGAATCAAAAGCAAATTAACGTGTCGATTGGATTAATGCTTAGTAAGTCTGGTGGGTACTACAGAGTAAAATGTTCGTTCGTTGACTTCTGTCAACTCTAACGCATAAACATTCACCGAAATAGCATTCATTTTTTAAAATTTTGTGATTTGGGGCAGTTTCATTGGTATGTCTAACCCTTTGTTGTTCAAAACTCGTGAATAGTGAGGATAATTATTCACTCTATATGACTTCAATTTAGCGGGATGCAAACAACTGACTATGCTCCAATAGAAGCATGCCTCATCATCATTTTGAACGTTAATGCAGGCATGCTTTCTCTCAATCTGCTCTGGTAATTTGATGTATGATGAGCCATTTCCCATTTCATATTTTTATTTATGGCAACCTCCAGAGAAATAATTTCGCTCAAAGCCCACCCGCTATTCTTCTCGGCAAATTCGCTAAGTTTATTAAGGATCACATCTAGCACATTGATTTTGAACCAATCGG